ACCCTACTCGAGAATGAGTCGCTCCAAACCCCTTGCACACAATTTGATAAACGCAACTACTGTAGAAACTGGATTTCTGCATCTCATGGACCCGAGATAGCTGCAGATGAGTAAGCGTTGTCCTTGCTATCATTTCTTTTAGTTTCTCGCTTCGTACCTGATCAATAACCATTCCCCTTATTGCTTTGTGTGCGCACATTCTAATTTCAAACTCCCTTTATACCTCAATGCAGTTAACTCTGTAATCGCCCGAACCGACGATTCCATTTTCCCTTGATCTATCTTTTGGTACTCTAACCACCCCAAGGGACATGTCAAGCACTGCTATTTTACCCGTTATACATCATTGTTCATTGTTCATTAGGAGCAGAACCAGAAGAAGCATGGCATTAAGAGAGGCAGCTTGACATGTGTGTAGGACGAACCATATCCCTGGAAACTGGAGGTATTTTGTGGTGCATCATAATAATTTTACCATACTTGTACTTAAGACAAATTAGTTCACTAACTGAGTTTTGTAAAAAGGTTTTGTGCTAGCAACAAGTTTCGGTACAAGTATGTGAACAACCTCAGGAATATGAAGCTTCATGTTTCCCAGCCAACCTTAGCAAATGGTTGTGCTCAAACTGACGACGATGCACCCAAAGTTCTACGGCTGCGATATGCAAACTTTCGATGCGCCGCCAGCAAGTGTCACATACCTGTCCCATTCCCGAGACGCCAATATCCACCCACGTCACTTTTACTTCAGCAACCGTTTTGAGGAAGCTGATATCGTTGCTCACCCATAGTTCCCCCGGAGTTGACAAATTCCCGCAAAAGCACTTCAAGCGACAGTCACAAGGATAGCTGAGCCATTAGCTCGATTTTTCCAAAGATGTCTAGATAAACAGCAGGTCGTCAATATGGGGAAGCCGGGCATCTTCACTACAATTGTCCAAGTTAGTAGCCGTTTGCAGCCCATCAACTACCGCCCAGTGATTCTCCTCCCGATGCTCGCAAAAGCGGAGTCAACCATAGCTCAGGCTCTAAGGGGCTACTTTGAAAAATCTAACATCATAGCACAGGAACAACACGGATTTCGTCTGCATTGATGGTGTACTACCAATCTGCTGATAATGCCTGGCACTTGGACCGAGATAACTGGCAGTGGGACCGCCATTGATGTCATTTACCTCGACTGTTCTAAAGCCTTCGACCGCTTAGATCACCGAATCTTTCACCAAAAGCTACATTATTCCGGAATTAGGGATCCAGTCTTTGGATGGATTGGAAATTTTCTGCTTCAGCGTTGGCTTCGAATTCGGGTTAGGGGTTCATTTTCCGCTACCATCAACGCGGACTGCGGTGTTCCACAGAGATCCATGTTAGGGCCTCGCCAATTCCTGTTCATCATCAATGACCTACCGGGTGCCATCGAGTCAAAGTTCCTGCTTTTTGCCGATGACATCATTACATGGCGAGCTGTCGGTTGTCAAGTCGATCACGATGTGCTGCTGAGAGACTTAGACCGTACCTATGAATGCTCAAAGACAAAACTACTTCCGTTTAACTTATACAAGTACAATACGAGACCACTTAAGGATATAAGCTTGGAGTTCACACGCTGAAAACCGCTTCACGGGAGCGCGATCTTGGCGTGGTGATGCAAGACAAGCTCAGCTATTCTGTGCAGTCTTTGGAGGCATCCAAAGCAGCGAACCAACAGGCTGGTCTATTACGAAGGGCAACCGGGCGGTTCGATCCCTCCATCTTCCACCAAATTCTCAATGCGTATGTGAGGCGCTACGTGAAATACGCGATTGAGGCCTGGCAATCGTGGTTAAAACAAGATCTGGTTGAACTAAATAGCACGCAGGGAAGGGTAACCAAGAATGTAAAGCGAATGCTTCACCTGCTTTACCATTTGCGACTAAAAACTTTAGGAATGTACAGCGGAAGTTACCGCCGTCTAAGGAGTGACCTCATACGGGCCTTCCAAATCTTGCAAAACACCGAGTACATCTGCCACCAACTGCCTAAAATAAGCTTTAATACAAAATCGAGTGGTCCCGGAATGAAACTTGCTACGCAATATAGTCGGCTGGAATGCCGCGGGAACTAATTTTCTTTTCCAAATTGTCACCCAGGAAACCATCTTGCGACTTTTGTCACTTCGCACCCATGTCAACATTCTATAAAAAACGACTTGACGATGTATTACAACCCCTGCATTACCTGCTTTGATATCTGTTCACTTAGTGACAACAAGATGCAAACAAACATTCTGCTCCTCAGCCGTCACGCAATCGGAATAAATGGATTTCTATGCATATGTAAACGCATACGCATTGGTGTTATCGAACATAGCTTGACTTATAGTGAATTTATTTTTACGAGTAAGGCGGTGAGTCCTCCAGTGTAAATCTAAACTTGTTAATAACTTGTCTTATACTTTGAATTTCACTATAGTCATAATGCGGGACATGCTAAGCTACAGCAGTTTTTCCCGTATAAAACAATGGTTCCATTGTCTCATGACCATTAGATGCTGGCATAAATGCACAGCAAACAATGGACAGTAACATAACCCTACTCGCACACAGGTTACTCTAAACCCTTTGGTGAGTCCTGTATTTCACACATGCTTTTACCGGCATTAATTTGTTACTTTGTAGTTATCACCGTAACGATCCTACAGGACAAGTCAAACATTCGATTTTCTACCCATCATAAACCATTGCTGCATTGCTCAATTGATCTACAAGGCCATGTGCACAAAGCACATTGGGACCGTCTCAGTCTGTAGCGGATGCTCGACTTCTTTGGCCTCTAAACATGATACATGCATGTCGTACCTCATCCCTGCCTGCGGAGATTGAATCCTGTCAGATGATGATGATTATTGGCGCTTATAAGCTGGCTTTTATCTCACATTGGCTGAGATGTGTGCTGCATATTCGTAGACCTCATTTACCCTGAAGATACTTGTTTTTGTTGCCAGATGTAGGATGTGCCAAACCACGAGGATTTTAAACTTGAGTTGGCAAACAGTAAGAGGTCACTAACAAGTATACAGGATGTCATTAGCTAATCTAGCCTTCTAAGATGATTACGACGCGGACCAACCTGTTCTTACCATGAAATCTTACAGGACATGACTGGCAACTTGCATTAGGATTAGGTCCGTTGTCCACTTTGAAATACTTAAGAAGTTATTAACATGCTCCGAGATTTGCGGAGTATGCTTGGTTATGCTGCGGATCAATGACATTGCAAGGAAAATGACTTAGCTTTGTCGTCACAAATTTACCCGATAGATGGATATTGGAGATCTAGTGCTAATAATGTATAAACTGGATGGCATTGGACAATTGCTTATGGTGTCTGTGTTTTGCACTGGGGCCCCTTCTTCCTCTCTTCTTGCTGTTCATTTCATACATTCATTTCACTTGTATGGAAACGAAGCCTCTATTTAGTTTGCAGATAATCCGTTGTTACTAGTCATTTTGATGATTTTTGACTTGCGAAGTTTCGTTTAAGATATCAACAGATTTATCTTCGTGCAAATGCTATATCAATGCACATTTAGGTTATCGACATGTTTAGCGTGGCGCATCGGTGAAATTGTGCCCACGCGTGCTAACCTGAGTTTGTAAACCGCTGTATATATGGGCAGGCGAGCTCACTGCCGTGACGAATAATCAGTTGCGACCCTACTCTGTTCTAGTGTACAACGCACAGAGTTTTACTAAATTAGTCCTAAGGTTTAGTTTAAAAGGGCTTGTGGAAAATTCAAGTATAATGCATCCTATTCGTGTTTTCTATTCACGTCGCATAATCTGAGATTTTCGCTTAGGTAACGGCCATCGAACAATGCCATGGGTATTTGTATCTGTCACTTAGGCAAGATAATCATCCACTGGATACTTCTAGCACGAAAAACTTGCACGCCAGCTACGGCCTCAGTGATCGAATAGACCAACGCTCACAGTAATGCGAAGCTTGGTCTACAGAACCAGTGCTTAACATTGACTACGCCAATAAGACTGATGCCATTTATTGGCCATATAATATGATTGAGGTTGATAAGGTGTATCTCGTTTGTCAGTAGTTTATCACAGCTGTTCTCAAGCCAAATTAGTATAACCCCAATCCAGAAAAGCGCCCTCGATTTTATCGTTTTACTTGGGCTCGTCAGTGGCGTGCATTCGCTCGGTTCCCTGCTGGGTATCTAACCCATTATTGCCAGTGTGTTACGCCCGCAGATTATGCCACTGAGCCATGGGGGACGGAGGCAGACCGTCTGAACTTTCATGATATGGCGTTTGTGGGATAACACAGTTCATTTTAAATGACGGCCGTCGTAGAGACTATAGATGCTGAAGAAAATTCGTGGGTATCAGCTATGCGGAACTGTCAGCAATAGCACACATACACTGAAACATCGCAGAACTTTTTTCACTGTTTACGCAGGGATGGGTTCATTTCATATCAAAGGCTTCAGAAGTTGCTAAGGAATTGTAAAGCAATTCAACCGGGACAAACAAGAGCTCTCGCGCAGATTGTTGGTGGGTATGGAAAGGTTTACTTGATCTGTGTAGCGAGAGCATTTGCGAAGCACTTGCTAAAATGTAGGAAGGTTTGCTAAAACTACATCGAGTTTTCAAGACCGTCGAGTTTCCCAAACTATGGAACGTTGTTAGTACATTCATTATTCTGCTGATGCACTTGTTAACTAGTAGTATATCACACAATGCAAAAAGCGAGCTGATGCACAATTCCGTTTTTGTCTAGATCGGGATTGATAAAAAAGAACCATAACTCGACCTTTATTATCCAGCTGTTTCGCAGACTCATTGAAAATAACAACAAAATAATAACAATGACATGATAGTTCGGAACAACAGAAATAAATGGTCATATTAAATATTCTCATGATGACCGTTGAACCATCCATTAATCACTGAGCATCAGATATCAAAGAACGCCCAGACAATGTACATTTTATAACGACTTACCCTTGGTACGAAGTTTCCGAAGCAGGGTCATCCGGGCTTCTCTTTACTCCGGACAAGTTATCTGCAGTTTCTGTTGATGAATCTTAAAACCAAGTAAGTTCATGTATTTACCGGTTGAAAAACCTTCCATTTTTTAACAGTGAAATGGTTTCATCCACTCTTCTCTGTGTTCTTAACAACGGTACTATTTGTCTCACACACCAAGTAACAGCCAACCAGTCGAGAATTCTACGGGGTTGGTAGGTAATAATCATTGTGGAAATTTGAAAATGTAGCCACGTTACCCTATCGATTTTTACCTGTGCCATAAACAGCATAGTTCTTCCGCAAACCAACTCAGCGACCGCCAAGTTAAGTTATTTGGCTAATCCAAATGGAATTCTATATCTCAAATCATCGAAAGTTTCAACCAAGAAAGCTTGCTAATCCGTGTCATAGTTGCTATCTATGTATCTATTCACCAATTTAGTAAGCTAAATCTAGGCATTATGCGCACTTGAGCTATGCCGAGTTTGATCCTTAGTTGGGTGTATTATATTACCTGACTGGTAGTATCGGTGGAACTGTTAGTTCAGCCCACCGGGTTACAAACGATGCAGTGATTCAAACGTGGTCATTGATGGTGGGGGACCAGATCCACTACCCGAGCAATTCTTAGTCCAATCATCTTGAGAACGAGATGGTTCTAGTGCTTTAGCCAATGATTGTAGACATCGTTAGCCATGCTGACACTGTTGACAGGGTGGACTCAATATGCTGTGTTAGTAAAACAGAAAGTTCTAATGTGGCAGTTCATAGTCTTGCGGTGATATTCTTTCACCTCCAATGAACGATGGAGCATTCATCTTTCGCCCTATGAGGATATTCGTGTTAATTATAACTAGAATTTGTTCAAAGCATTCTTAAATCAGGATGCTGATACTTCCCATATCATCCCTATTTCTGTCATGAAATTGATGCCACTGATACAGACAATTTAGAATAACACGGAAGTGCAGGCGAAAACTTTCGAGGCAATATTCTGTATGGAAACAGGTCCCCAGGGAACAGTTCCACGGATGGCCGTATTAGTTTATTATAAAAATTTGATTAAATCTGTATTCGTTATTGTTTCCGGCTTTTCAAGTTCACTAAGCCATTAAACTTGCTAAGTACTTGCATATCCCTTTTGCATCCGCTGCATAAAGCGTGAACAATTATTTATATTGTCCGATCCTGCTGTATACATTGAGCAGACCACATCTTTGGAATGCGCCTTGCACCGCCGAGGAAGATATAATGTATTTATATATTCGTTTGTTTAAATACCGAACAGGTGCATTCCAAACAAGTTGCACAATTATAATAGGAATGCATCAGTTCCATCAGCTAAAACGAGACATTGCCCCTTGCCATGCGCTCATGAGAACTGCGTCATATTACAAGGAATATGCAAAAAGGCCTACATGGACAATTCATACCTCTTGCAAAACCCTAATCATTCACATTCGGTTGGCAAACTTATACATTTAAAAGATGTTTGGTGATGTGGTGGGTATATTACTAACCAGGGGATGAGCCCACTCCTCTACAGAACAGCACTCAAAAACACTTGGGCATAAACAGTGTCATACGGCTACTGGTGACTTGTTTTACATGATATACCCTGCCATTAGTAGAAATATGCAATACCGCCTCATAGCTTTTTTCTTCGAATATCTATGACCTTGAGGAGACGTGATGCTACCAAAATAATCACCAGCTTACAATTTAGAAGTAAACGTAGTTTCTACTGATCTCGATAGTTTGCAGTGAGGCCCTTAAATGCATAAAAACAAGTCCGTGGCCATCGCTCCTATTAGCACCGGTTCCTTGGAGCCATGCTTTAAAAGCAGGGGTTAGACACAAACAAACATTATATATGTATGTAGATATATATATAAATATATATATATAGTGCAGGACTCCTGCCTTTATCCCGTGAAAAGATAACCCTCCTTTGCTAGGAATTGTTAAGAAGCGGACAGAACTGAAGAAAGCGATGGAAACCCGCTTTGTTAATGAGGAATTCACAGCCTACGTGCCGACCTGTGGCACCACATCCGTGTAAAAATAACAGACGCTGCTGAAGAAATGCTCTAGTGCGCAAATTGTATGCGGGCCGAGTGATTTGATGACAACAGTGCGACTATTTTATTATTGGTGTCGACGAAGATTACGGCGCTCACTGTACATTTGGATGAATCTGGTGACGGCAGAATGGAGAGTTGTTTTCGCAAAGTTCATCGGTCATTGACTCGAGAGCTCCGTCGCATCGAGAATGCGTAGTGGACGGAGAAAGCGAAACATATGAAAGGCTATGCCGAACGTCGCCGGCATTTGTAATTTTTTGACCCTGTGATGGTGGTGTGTTGACCAACTTTGCAGCCACTGAGGTCGCTGCCCCATGCTAATGCAGGCTTTGCCTGTACTCAGACTGCAGACGTAATGCAAATTTGGTGAAAGAAATCTGATTGTCTCTTAAACAATCATCCATAGGTTGACTAGGCCGTGTTGCACAAGCTGCGGCAGCAAGATATGAGGCTGTGTCTTACCGACACACGGACACTAGATAAGACACAGAGAGCACATGCTCCGCTGAAGAACGGCAGGTGCGTTGGTTCTGACGGTGTCGCGCCTGAAGTATTGAAACACTGCGGAGCCGCGTTGGTAAGTGCGCTGCACAAACAGATGCAGTGCGAGTGGATTGAGGAGGAGGTGCTCCCTGGGTTAAAGGAAGCGCTTCTGCTTCCAATGTTCAAGGACAAATGAAGCAAGCAATGTTGCATGAAATATCGTGGTATCAATTTACTGACCTGTGTGGGGAAGGTGATCAACCGAATCCTGCTCAAACGCCTCTTCAGGTAGGTTGTGGAAACGAACCTGGAGGAAGAGCAGTGTGGAGTTTTTACGGGTACCAACACCATAGGTTTGGTGTTCGCGGCTCGTCGGTTGCAGGGAAAATACGGAAAGCGACAACAGCTATTGTACTCGCTGTTTGTTGACTTCGCCAAAGCTTTTGACACGGTGAACCGAGAGGTACTGCAACTCATGTTGAGTAAGTTAGGTTATACGAGTAATTTTTGTAATTTTAAGGAAATGCGTGCACAATGATGTTTGGGCAAGTGTACAGCTGAGTGGACGAATCTCGGATAACTGCGGTCGTCTCTGGTGTGAAGGAAGAACGTGCGTATACCTCTGTTCTATATAATATTTATCTTAATGGAATGGTGTGCTGTGCCTTTGTTGCTGCTTGTGAGTACGGTGTCTGTGTGGATCACCGTGTGGTTGGTACGTTGCTGAAGCTCCGCTTTGCCGGGAGGAAAGCCCTACTCTATGAGACAAGCATCCACATGTTGCTGTTTACCGATGACTGTGCGTTGTATGCGCACAGTGCGGATGAGTTGAACTTTACCTTGGCTACCGCATCGACAGCGGACAAATTCGGACATGGCAACAACGCAAGCAATACACTGTTCCAGCAGTATGAAAGACGTACACACGCCGTTGAGAATAGGCTGCGCATCAAAATGGCTTAGGTAGGAACAAGCATGGCAGAACGTCTAACACAGGCCCTCCGCCTAAATCCACTGCAACCTAATTCAATAACGCCATACGCTACACTAATAAAGTTACAGCTGCAAACACTGCACGAAGGCACAGCAAATCACTAGGTCTCCCAACTGCGGTCCACACTCTGAAGAAAGACACTCAGAAAAATACTGGTTGCCCTATCAATAATATGTATCAAGTTTTCTAAGTCAACGTCGAATGATTTGAAAGGTAAACAGTTTGTTGACGTCAACCAATGGAATACCATAAGTAACTACCTTGGTATTCCGAGTAAACCCTCTAAATTGACAACGATCTACCGCCACCCAAATTCCTAACATTATGACAAAGCCAGGTTTCTTCGGGATATGCTAAACTCTATCTGTGAGGTAGAAGCAGCATTGCTTTCGATCGCTGGTTCCAAGAACGCAATTGGTCTGGTCCGCATCTTTCCAGACATTCCCTGGAGCGAGCGCAAGCGAGCGTGGCAGAGTTTAGAATAGTTCCGGCTAAACGCCACAGCCAAAACCGTTTTTGTCCACGGCGTCCCCCAGTCTCAAGAATACGACGAATTCGAAACAAAGGTACACGAGCAGGAGCAGTGGCGCTTTATTCATGAAGTCCTGCTCTTAAATGACGTTGTTGCTACCTGTCTCTCGAAACTGCCACGATCAGAAAGCTACAAAGGTTGCTGCCCAAGGATAATTAAGTTTGTATTACAAACTACACAGACGGCACTTAGGCTACTGGAACGCTGGCATTAACTTCGGAACAGACTGCCAACCGAGCTCCGGTTTAAAGCGGCCAGCGGAACTGTCACCCGACATTATGCACCACCACAGCAGGCAAAGGAATTAATGATCTTATCCGAAATGCACACCGGAAATAAGTCAGAAGGTAATGATGATATTCCTGTACAACGCTGCAGCTACTCCCCATGCATTGTGCAAACTGAGTTGTCAGAGGGACTAATTACATTGCCACCGAACCCAACTCCAAGCGACTCGCCGATAATACCACAAAAACTGCTAGCGGCTGACCATACAACGGTTGACACAGCCACACGTGCCACGCATCGTTACTGAGAACTGAAACATTTGTCTGCATGTATATGAATGCCCAAAGCCTCCTCATCAAAATCCCCGAGCTTTGTTTGTGCCAAGTAACAAAAGCTTGGGATCTCATCTCCATAACAGATACTTGGTTGCACTCAGGGATTACGGATGCTTAGGTCGCGATACAGGGTATGTCACGGTTCCGACACAATCGCCCCAGCAGGGGAGGTAGTGCTATCCTATACTAATGTAAAGACTTGAAATGCGAACCACTGGATGATCCGGAGATGTGGTTCACCGATTGGCTATTATGCCGTTTGCGTCTCATACACAAGGACAACTGCTTCGTGACCGTTGTATATCGCTTCTCATCGTCCACTCCAGAGATGGATTCCCACCTAATATCATCCTTGATGAAATGATTACCCCCAACTTACAGCTAAGTTCTTTTCTCCAGCTATTTCAACGTTCACGACTTGGAAAGCTCGACATCCCCAAGGAAAACATGCA